CTTGAACCATGGTCAGCCATGTGAGAGTCCAGCTCCTTTAACCACGTCACCCATGGAAGAATCCAGCTCCTTTAACCACTGTGCCACTTGCCAGCCCCTCCTCTGGCTATTCTTAAAACTAAAACTGCCCAGGGAACCAGCAGTTAGCATAATGGCTATGTCGCTGGACTCCCACGTAGTCAATCGCAGTTCACGTCCCAGACCCGGTGGCTTAAAACTCATGCCGGGTGCGTGTGCATGCGTGCCCAAGATCCCGAGAGGAGAATGGAGGAGAAGGGATTGTGGCGTGACCATCCCCCTGGGGGGTGATTTCTCGCTTTCTGTCTCAATGTCTCTCTCTGTCTGGCGAGCGCATGCGCCCTATAGCAAAAACCTCTCCAAAAAACAAAAACAAAAAAAATTAAACTGCCCAGTACTAGGGCTGGCAAGTGGCATGGTGGGTAAGGGCACTGGACTCCCACATGGAGTTGACCATGGTTCAAGTAATGGACCTGGCAGCTTCCTTTCTCACTTTTTCTTTCTCTTTCTCTCTCTCTGTCCCTCTCTGATCAAATTAAAATAAACAAATAAAATTAAATAATTCTTAAAAACAACAACAACTGCCTAGTACCAAGAAAACAACACCACCTATTAACAACATCACAGAAACTTTTTTTGAAAACCTCTGGATTCCTACCCTTAGATCCTCATGTTGTCACCTTCTTGGTCTGTCTTTTTAAATTAAAAAAAAAAATGTATTTAACTTTATTTATTTATTTATTTATTTATTTATTTATTTATTTATTTATATTTGACCAGAGAGGGACAGAGTGAGAGCAAGAGAGAGAGAAAGTGAGAAAGCAAGCTGCCAGGTCCAGGACCTGAACCACAGTCAACCATGTGGAGTTCAATACCCTTAACCACTAGGCTACCTACTGCCCTCCCCCACCTGTCTTTTTTTTTTTTTTTTGGAGAGATTTTCACTATAGGGCGCGTGCGCTCGCCAGGCAGACAGAGAGAGACATTAGAGACAGAAAGCGAGAAATCACCCCCCAGGGGGGAATGGTCACGCCGCAATCCCTTCTCCTCCATTCTCCTCTCAGGATCCTGGGCACGCACGCACACGCGCCCGGCGTGAGTTTTAAGCCACCGGGTCCGGGACGCAAACCGCGGTCAACTACGTGGGAGTCCAGCGACATAGCCATTACTACGCTAACTGCTGGTTCCCCCCCCCCACCTGTCTTTAAAAGCCCTGCTAGTCCCTCAGTCATGGAGACGGTCCTTTAAATGTCCTCTACTGCTCTTCTAGTTGATAGCTTCCACAACAAAGCCTACCTCTATGCAATTGTCTCTCTCAGAAATTGGCTTACTGTGTGGTGAGCAATCAGACCTGGCCCTTACATTTATCTGATAATACCTGACATTTGGCTCATGATATGCTCTGCCTTGAAACCTATTTGTTGATTCCTATTTCTCCCTCAACATTCAGAATATTTCTTCTACAGGGGTTACAAAATGTTGGTCTACAAACTCAAGTACGCAAAATTTTCTTAGAAAAAATATTCTTTTTCTGAAATTGATCTTAATTGTTTGGCTTCTATTCTACTGACTAGTAGTAACCAAACCTCAATGTGGATGATCTTAATCTATCCCAAATCTTCTCCATATCCTGCCCAGGTTGTATCTATAATTAACAGCTTGGATGCTAATCAATCTATTAAGATGCTGGGCTTTGGGCTCTCAGTGCCCATCTTCCAAACATGCTGGCATTCACCATCTAGCCACATTCTCATACCTACTTGGCCTTGTAGAGAGCCAAAATATGCCACCCCAAAATGTGCTTCTTTGGCATACTTTGAGATAACTATTTAGAAGGTGTGCATACACAGGAGTTAACATTAAGAAAGAAGCTAATCTTCGTAGGATAAATTCGCATCTATTTACATCATTAAAATAGGCAGCAGAGGCAAGCAGGCTTTCTGACACTATTCCTTTACCTTTCCTGGAGCAGGAAGAAGGGGATGAGAGGTGCTACTCTTGGCTCAGAAAGACAAAATTTAGAGGGTCAGCAAGTGGTATTGTGGTTTAAGGCGCTGGACTCCAACATTATTGACCACGGTTCAAGTCCTGGACCTGGTGGAAGAGAAGGGACTACAGTGTGGCCACCCCCCTGGGGGTGCTTTCTCACTTTCTCTCTGTCTCTCTTTCCAGAGAGTGTACACTATCACAAGAGAGAGAGAGAGAAGAAAAAAAAAACAAACAAACAGGTGACATGGCAGTTAAGGCACTGGACTCCCACATGTTCATCTGCAGTATGTCCTGGGCCTGTTGGCTTGGCTTGAGAATCACTCTGGGCACATGTGTGTGTGTGCCCAAAATCCCAGGAGGAGAATGGAGAAGGGGTTGCAGCTTGGCCATCCTCCCTGGGGGGTGAGTTCTCACTTTTCCTCTCACCGTCTCTCAGTCAAGCACACGTGCCCTATGGCAAAAACCTATAAAAAGAGAAGGAAAAGAAAAAAAGGAGAGACAGAGATCATATAGCTTTCCTCACATGTATGAAGATGTCTTACAGAATTGAATCAGGAACAATTAATTGCAGGTGGAGAGAGGCAGCTTTCAATTCAATATGAAGAAGAACGTAGAGTAGAAAGGGGCCCCCTCAAAATGAAGTCATTTCCTAGTTCTGGAAGTGTTCAGAATATGCAGAGTCTGAAGGGAGGACTATACAGGGGCAAGGTAGAGAATACACCCTTAGATTCAATAATAAAGCTGTCTTATAAAAACAGTTTTTTTCTTTTCTTTTATTTGTTTGTTTGGTTGGTTGGTTTTGGTTTTGCTATAGGGCAGGCCTATGCACTTGCCAGAGAGACAGGGAAAGTGAGAAATCCCCCAGGGGGGTTAGGGAATATGGCCATGTTGTAACCCTTCTCCCCCAGTTTCCTCCTGGGATTCTGGGTTTGTACTCACACGTGCCTGGGGCAATCTTCAAGCCTCTAGGTCTTGGACTCAAACTATGGAGTCAGACTCATGGGATCCAGCACCTCAACCTCTACGCCACCTGCTGGCCCCAAATGGAGAATTTTTAATGGTTGATTCTAAATAAATCTAAGTAGTATTATCTTTCTTAAATACATTTTTCAAATTACGGCCAGGTTTAATCTTTTAAAAGTCCTTTCTAATTATGTCAGTCCCTTGATTAAAGCCCTTCATGCGCTTAAGGGTTTTTTCAGTACTGACCCCTGGCTTCCTTGTTCATGTCACCTGGCATTCGTTGCTCAAGTTTAGATACTCTCTTCTACCTCAAGTCATCCTGTGTTGGCTCTCTTGCTTGTAAAGCTCTCCTCCTCTTGCCTAGGTTATTGTTATTAAAGTAACTTTCTCCAGGAAGATTTCTCTAGAATGTCAGACCAGTTGGGTTCTTTTATTTATTTTTTTTTCTCAAACAGTTTAATAGCAAATAAACAAAGGAAGGTACCACATTTGACAGATACAAAATGAGTTTTTGTCCGTGTGTCTGTGCAATTAAAACAGATTTAGGTTCCCCATTGGGACAAAAGGAAAAACACACATAAAAAGGAAGGCGATTCCTTTTAAGCACATACTCCCTTGCTCCAAACTTGTAACAATTTTCTTTTTTAATCCACTACACAAACTCTGTGATTAGGCAAGAATGGCAACGAGGGCTCTTCTTGCCTTTTTTTTTTTTAACCATTAAAGTAAAATCATGAATGCTTGCAAAATACTCTGAACTGCTTCTCAAGGTGAAAGCATTCATTTTATAATTATGTCTGTCTCTCACTAAAAGGTATGCTCCGTGAGGACAGACACACTGTATCTTGTTCCGCAAAGTGGCCATGATATGGTGAGCATATTCAAATATTTGTTAAAGAATGAATGAACTTCTGGTTGTTACCTGATTTAAAGTGTAAAATGATGGAAAAAAGTGTATGCTGGACTGACAATAGATTTCAACTTTCAGGAATACCAATATGGTTCTTGGACGAATGTATTTCATGAAACAAAGCAAGCAGATGATGAAAACTAACCATTCGTCAAATAAGTCAAGTCTATCAAGATGGAGTCAGTGTATAATGTCAGAAGCTTTATGGAAACCAGAAAAACTGGGAAGACAGGGTGTAAGGACTTAGGATGTAGCATTCTTTCAGTCATCCCCAAATATTTTATAGAGTATCTACCGTCTGCCTGGCACTTAGGGTTGAGACTCAAAGGTGGGCAAGTCTTAGCATTAACGAATCACATGAGAAGTCCCAGGAATTGCATGTGGTGTGGCGAAGGCTGTTCAAGAAGGTGTGCGGGTATTTACCTAACTCAGTGGGGAGTGGGTGGAAAGGATGGAAGGATTAGGAGACCGACTGGTTACCCAAGGAAACCTTGTCCGCTTAAGCAGGGACCTGTAAGGTGAGTAGGAGAACCTGGTGACCTAGGGAACTGGAAAACGGTCAAAAGCTATGACCTGGTATCCCACAGAGAAAGCGATTTCAAGGGCGTTTTAACAGATTCCAGCTTCCAGCGACCGCTGGTGTGACAGACCACTAGGCTTCCGAACAGCTCTCGGGCAGGAACGCCAGCGTTGTGCAGTCCCTCCACCCGAGCTGGGCCTGCCTGCAAGCACTCAGGCGTCCACCAACTGCAGAGCCCGCAGACAGCCCGGCCTGCCCGAGACGGCGCGCAGGCACCACTCACGTCCAGCTCCGCCCGGGAAAGACGCCCGCACGCCCCGCCTACGTCCTGGCACGTTCGATCCGGCCCAGTCCCCGGAGCCGCCCCGGCCGCGGCGGTCATGTGACCCGGAGTGTGACGTAGGAGGAAGGAGACGCCATTAGAGGGAGGCGGAGAAGGGACGCTCCGTGCCTTTCCTCCGGTGCCTGACGTGGTGGCGGCGAGGGCCCTTCATTCTCGGACTGCCCTCGGCTCTTCCAGGCCTCGCCCGCAGCAGGGAGCGGCGCGGCGGACGGGGTTCGGGGCCCGT